GAGGGTCGCCGGTGAGGATTGTGGGGCACGAAAATTGGGGGCGGGGCCAGCCCGAGGTGGGCGGAGCCAGACAAAAATTGTCCAAAACTCCCAGAGCACTCCGAAGACCGGAAAAAGTGGATTAAGGTCAGCAGAGGGTCGAAGGTGAGGACCGTAGGGCAAAAACGTTGTGGGCGGAGCCTGTTTCGAGGTGGGCGGAGCCAGACAAAAACTCTGCAGAACGGTTCCAGAACACATCAGACACCGGAAAAAGTGGATTAAGGTCAGCAGGGGGTCGCCTGTGAAGAGTGCGGGGCACAAAAATTGAGGGCGGGTCTGCTCTGAGGTGGGCGGAGTCAGACGAAGAATTTGTAAAACAGCTCAAGAGTACTTCAGAGACCGGAGAAAAGTAGAGTACAGAATAAAAGGCGGATATCAGTTGAGTCTAGAAATATGTGAAAGAAAATACGCGCGGCAAAGCCGCGCTCGCCCGGCGCAGCCGGGCCGTATCAGAAGGAGCCGCGCCGGCGTCAGCCGGCGAGGCGACTGGTAAATAATAGATAAGCAAAGATGCGATGTTACAGATGTCAAGGCATAGGACACCTTTCACGAAATTGCAAAGCGGGCAACACCCACGTGGGAAGCAAGGCAACGGGTGTGGTGTCACAGGAGCGGGTACCTCGGAGAGCTGAGAGAAAGGATATAGTGCCAACCAAGGAGGGAACAATTCATCCAACGTGTCCCGCTTCTTTTGGGAAGAAGCATATGACAAAGATGGAGATAGGAATCAAATCATGGAGGGCATTGCTTGATACCGGCTCGGAAATATCAATCATGCCCATTACGGTTTTCAGCCATGCCAAGGGAAACGGGCAGTACGTAAGGAGTGGCCCGTTGATAGGACCAAAAACGTTTTTGACGCAACAGGTAACTGGATGAAGTTCGAAACAGTGGTGGAAGTTGCAGTGAAGGAAAATGGACTCAAGGAAACCATTATCTCTATGCATGTTTCGAAGCAGAAAGGGCAGATTCTGATCATAGGTACCAATGCGCTCCCGCTCTTGGGGTGGATCTGGTCTGCTAAGGGGAGAAGTGCGAAACAAAAGATTCCGTAGCTCTGAGTACTGGAGACGGCAAGGCCTTCGAAGAAGTGTTGCCTAAGGTAGGAGCGGAGCACGCGATAATTTCTGCGGACCAAGACGGCAAAGCTGTAGTTAGTAAGAGAGCTTACGTAGCCCCAGGTGAAGTCAAGTGGGTTTCCAGTAAGGGCGCCACGGACCTGGTGATGCACTTCTTATTCGCGGCTAGCAGGCATGAGGTCAGATATATGCTGCGTGAATCAAAGTGGCGAGGCGCTCATACTGGTGTGCTATTATACGCAGGAGCCGCTGGTACTGAGAGTAGGCCAGGAGGTAGGCCATTATGAACAAGATGACGTAGAATACATCCCAGTAAGGACCGAGGAGGAAGCGACGGATATGATGTTGGGCAAGCCAGCATCCGAAAGGGAGCGGTTACAGGATCAGTTCCTAAGAGAGAATAGGGAAGGCTGTGATCAGCATGAACCAGAGTGGTGGGGTCTTGTAGCGGAGTACGACAGGGTGTTCGCTGTCGAAGATAGAGAATTGACCCAAACAAATTTTGTGATACATGAGGTAGACACAGGCAGTACACCTCCGATTCGTCAGAAGCTGAGGCCCGTATCGTTAGGTGCACGGAAGGAATTCAAAGAATGATTAGAGCTCTTAGATCGCTGTATAATCGAAGCTCCACAGTCGGAATGGGCGTCGCCGGTAGTACTGGTCAGAAAAAAGGACGGTTAGTTGCGGCTGTGCATCGACTATTGAGAACTAAACAAGAATACGAAACAGGACGCGTACCCACTCCCGCAAATAGACATAATCTTGCCTAGCCGATACTTTGGCACGCTGGATGGGGCCTCGGGTTACTGGCAGATACATTTATCGGAGGATGCCAAAGCAAAGAGTGCCTTCGTGACATCTGAAGGGCTGTACCAGTTTAAGGTGTTACCGTTCGGGTTGTGTACATCGCCAGAGCGTTTTTAACGGCTCATGGACACAGTCCTCGGTGAGTTACTCGGTAAGGACGTCTTCGTGTACATGATAGCCACAGACACAAAAGAGCGCCATACAGAGGTGCTGAGAGCTGTGCTGAAGGCCATGAATAGGGCAAATCTGAAGCTGAAACCCCAGAAGTGCATGTTGTTGGGGGAAAAAGATAGCATTCTCTGGGCATGAAGTGGACAAAGAAGGAGTGCATGCGGACCCAGCTGAAATCGAGAAAATTCGGAACTATCCGCAGACACCGTGCCTCGCAGAGATGCGTACCTTCTTAGGCTTATGTGATTACTACAGGAAGTCTGTCCTAGGGTTCTTAAGTATTGCTCAACCGTTGTTTGAGCTGACCAGTAGCAAATCACCATGGCAGTGGCAAAGTGCTCATGAAGCGGCGTTCCAAGAGCTGAGAGCTTGCCTCATAAAGCCGCCGGTGCTAGCGCAACCTGGCATAGAGGCAGCACGAAGTGGACAGCGACCGTTCACTTTGTATACGAGTGCTTTGAGGGTCGGAGTAGGAGCAGCCCTATCGCAAGAGGCGTTTTTGCGAGAGTGCTAAGATGGGCGTCGGAGGTGCAGCAGTACAAGTTAAGCATAGAACATGTGAAAGGCAAGGCGAATGCTGTCGCAATGCCCTCTCAAGAGGAGTACCGACCGGTGCTAAGGCGGATGAAATAAGTAGCCCAGGAGAAGACAAAACTGCGTGTAGTGTGCATGAGGCAGAAAGACCAGATTGATTCAAAAAGCTGGAAAATGACAAGAATTACAGCACCGTTATAGAGAGTTTAAGAGCGAAGAATCTCGACGAAGAGGTGAACTCCCTCATGAGCAATAGGCTCAGAATAGCCGATTTTGTTGTAGAAGAAAGTGTTTTAAAATTGCTCCGAGAAAACGGTTCCCGTAGTACCAAAGTCCGAAAGTTGACGAGAAGCACAGGGGATGTCTGGCTGACTTCGGCTAAGAAAATGTGAAAATCTGAAGAAATCAGTCTTTTGGGAATCTATGGAGAAGGACGTCGCAAAGTGGGTGCGAGCTTGCCGAGAGCGCTTTCTAACAAACCCGCGGCCGAAAATAGCCCCCGTTGGAGCCATTTGTAGCTAGTAGACCTTTTGATGGCGTGTGTGCTGATATTTTGGAGATGGGGCTTAGCACAAGTGTAATGAAATACATACTGGTGCTAGTGGATCACTTCTCCAAGCGAGGAGCGTATCCAATGAAAGACAAAGGGACAGCCTCGGTTACGCAAGTGCTATTTCAGAGATGGGTGTGTGAAGGAGGCCGTTGGCCGAGACAGCTACACACGGATCAGGGTAAACGAGGTAATTAATGAACTCACGAAGATCTCTGTGATTGAACACACGGTTACGAAAGGGACTCTACAGAGAATACTGAAGAAAAAATAGAGTTTCCTGAGCTATGGGATGTACCGAATGCGGTCTTTGCTTATAATGTAACGCCGCATGCAGCGACAGGTGAAAAAACATTCTTCCTTTTGTACGGGTTTGACCCTGTGATTCCGCTGAATGCACTACCAGAGAGTAATGTTCGATTAAGTCAGATCGATCTTGATGACCATAAAACAGAACTCATCTGTGGTTCGCGAGTGATTCGCGAGGAAGTGTGTCAATAGACGGAGAAGTATAGAGAGAGAATGAAAAAATATTATGATGAGAAGAAAAACGTAAGCTCGTCATTTTTGTTCAAAGGCGGCGAGGAAGTTTTCACGAAGATGGCGCGCGAGAGGAGTCGCGCGAAGTACCCCAAATCGGTCTGCGTGGGATGGACCACATAGAGCGAGAATTCGGCACTCATTACAAAAATAGGAGTAAATGAGGATCCCGTGAGGGTTCAGTTTGATCTTTCGATTAAATGTCCTGGAGAAGTCTCGTATGAACCAGTTAGAAGTAATACCAAACGAAAGAAAGGTCGAAAACTAAGAGTAGCAGAAGAAACAGTAATGTGCAAAGCTATGACGTCCTGTTTCGATGTGTCTTTCAGGCGCGAGGACGCTTACGATGTCAACGACGACATGCACTTCTTGCACATGCTGTTCGAGTGCGATGGACAAAACTTCCCTCAAATGGACGGTCGCAATGGATTCCCGCTGGTTGGCTGCCGCGTTAGCCACGACACCTTCGTTCGTGATCTCCTCCCAATTGTCCCTCAACCTGCCGCAGATGAGAGGTTGGAGTGCACACTGGATGCTGCCCGTGTATTGGCCATATGGTGGGGCGCGGGGTCGATTTCGGCAAAAGTACAGCGTATATGAGACAAGTCCCTAGCCATCACCCCCAAGTCGGTCGGCACAACAGATGCATTCTTTCGAAGTCGCTGTACCCACGCAGCCATTGTGGCTAGCATAGTACCCGTTGGGGCGAAGTTCAGCCACGCAATGCTCAAAGGATGGACATGGGACATCACAAGGATAGAGGAGTACGGCTGGAATATCAGTCGCACGCTGGACTGGACAACCGTCGCAGTGGAGGTCGGGAAGACCAGCGAGGCTCAGAAGGCTTACGTTCTGCCTGAAGGGCCCGGAGACCACATTGTTCTACTACCGCCCCTTTCGAGATATCGAAAGGAGCAACAGCGTCTTTTTCGCGAATGAAGTCAGTAACGCAGTGTGGTACTGCCACCGAAGGAGCCGGACGACCCATATTCTAGGATACCCTTCGGGGGAGCAGTGGATTTATGGATGCGCTGTGGGGCCCGTGCGTGGATGGTCAACGGACCGAGGTTTGAGGAGGATGGCACGTGGTCTCGGATGAATTCGAAAGCGAGAACGCATGTTCTCGGCTATCTAGATAAACATTCAGACTTCACTGCACAATGGCACGACCTGGTACCCGCCGAAGCCGGTGTAGTGAAAGTTTCCATGACATGCCTCAGGGTAGGAGTAGTAAAGGACCCGCGCAGGTGGTGGGCTGTCGAGCAAGCGTTACGGTTCTATGCCCACTTGTCCAACCAGCTCCACGCGCAGGGATTCGAATTGGAGCCGATCAGGATGCCAAGATGATGAACGTCAGGAACTTCGGCGAAGCAAAGACGTGGCCCAGGATTGTCAGGAAATCCGGCAATAATGGATGGCCGAATCTCGAAAAGGCACCTGAAACGGAAAGAGAAGCGGCACCAAAGAAGCATGGAGCGCGCGTTCAGCAAAATGGAGCTCGGACGAGCTGGGGACAGCTCGCTATAGGAGGAGGTGGGCATATTAGGGAAAGAGCGCGCATGTAGGTCGGGCGCGCATATCTTCCGGGTACGGTAGCGGTCAATGGGCAGCCGGCGCAATAAACGAGGCGAAATAAACATTTTCGGCGGGTCTGCGCTTATAAAAGGCTTTACTCCTGCACTGTTCAGGCTTTTCTCCCTACTCTTCTGCCGACTTACCCGCGAGGAGGACCCGACGTCCCCTCTATTCAATCTCTAATTGGTTTCCGATTCTGCTACAGGTAGGACGACGACGACCCGACGGCGCACGGACAACACCCCTTAGGATATCAACTCCCGGACCTAGGACTTCGCCTTCGCACCCAGTGTGCACTTCAATCCTCGGCCTTCTCCAACCGTTAGGGTGTTTCATGTTTTATCGCTATTGCTTATTGCTATGAAGCTACGTTGCTATCACTAAACTAACTCAGACAAAAAAGCAACAACAAAAAAGAAACATAGCACCTATGCACTGAGAACTTGCTTTGCTATAGCACGTTTGAAGGAAGACACAGAGCCATTAAACAATGTGGTTTCGCCTAAAAGTAGATATGCAAGACCCGCCCTGATAGTGAAGAAATTGCGCCTAAGGTTGTCATAGGGCGAAATGATAGCTTATGTTGACCACCTCTGGTTTCGGACGGAGTAAGGGGTAAAAACGAGAAAAAAAGTATGGATTTGTCTCTCAACAGTTTATGCAACATACATAAGTCAGAAAGGGTCCGCCTGGAATGCAGGGAAGGAGACCGAAATATTGCTCCTAATTTCTGCTCTAGGGATTTTAGCATACAGAAAGCCACCGCGACGAATTAACATCTTTCTGGCGAAACTATTTTCGACTTTTTCAATGAGAGCAATGTCCCTTGCTCTCTTATAAACTCTAACAAACACCCTGCTATCCGCAGTAGTGAGGCCTTCAATACGCAATAGGTACGATGGAGGGCTTTCTTGTATATACAGGGGGGGGGGCAAGAAAAGACATTTCGACAGAGTCACATACCAGCAAAGTTTTCGCTGCCCAGAGAGAACGATTACCAGGGCGAAAGATACCCAGGATGTTCCTCGATAAGCAGGAGCTGGCTCTCGCCCATCGCCTTCCTGTGCACCAAAATATGAACTCATCTCCAGCCGCAACCTGACCGGGGAAGGCCTTCGGAATTCATGTCACCTCCGAACAGCTGCGAAACTCTAGTATGGAGTCACCCATGAATAGCTACCTGGACGCGCCAAGGCGCCAGTTGATGGTGGGGACCGGACATACCTGGAATGGAGAGACCGATATTCTCTTCGTGGGCTCTGGACTGAAGGTGAGCCGGCGGTTACATCGAGCAACTCGAGAAGAATTCTCTCCACATGTCGTCGCCCGTACCTTCTTGGAAACATTGTACTGCTATAGGATTGGGTGACACCACATGGAATCAAAGGGCGTTGGGAAAACTCTTCTACTTGGAATGGAAGGACGTTGGGTACCTGATTAAGGTGGGATATCTAAGCAGGTAACCTGACCCAAACCCCCTCGATTACCTGGTTCGGGCGGAGTTCAATAGGGTGGTCTACAGTGGCGGAGAAATATAAGATCTCGCTGAACTCACGCACCCACTGACGGTCGCGTGGCAGAATCTTTCGATGAAGCTCCTCCAGAAGGCTGTGGCGGAGTGTCATGATAGAATTTAATATACTCTTTGATGTGGTGGTAGAAATGTTCGATGAGAATTCAATAAAGTGTAACTTATAGCGCCTCGGAAGTCAAGGAAGAAAAAAGTCTTTTTTTGGCCCTCCCTGTATGCTTGTGGTGTAGGGAGAAGTCAAGTTTGTTATTGTATAGGAACCCAAGATCCTCCACCTCATTAACCTAGGTAATCTCCTCATTGTTCATGAAATAAGATGCATTGCAGTGGGAAGAAGAACTCATGTGCATGTGAAACGTTTTGGTAGACGGAAGCGGTATTTGCCAGTTTGCTGACCAATGGAGAAGCCGATCAACTGTGGCCTGTAAATCAAGCGTATCCTGAGGGGAGCTTATAACTTTGTAGAACTTGAGGTCATCAGCATATTTTTGGAGACAAGTTCATCCTGTAGACAGAAAGAACTCAAGTCAGCAGTAAATATTGAAAGTATAGGGGATAGGACCCCACCTTGAGGAATCCCACTCTCGAAGCAGAAAATATCTGAGTACGAGGCGTTAACGCGTACTTGATTAGTCCTTCCAGTGAGAAAGGCTTTTGTCCATTTATAAACATTCTCATGAAACCCTACCTTACTAATTTTAAATAGCAATTTTGAGTTGCTGACCTTTTCAAAAGCTCTAGTGAAATCAAAGAATATAACATCTATACTTTGCTTGTTGTCCACAGTCCAATGGTTGAGTGTGTCCCAAAGATTTGCACTAGTTGACCTCCCAGGAACAAAGCCATGCTGAGAAGCAGGAATTTATTCCTTCAAACAGAGCGTTCGCTGTTCGTAATTCGGCCACTTCGATCACGTGTCCAAATAGCCCAGGCAATCAGAGCGACCTAGTCGCGAAGTATGAAAGTACCCTAAGAGCACGCCGCAACACTCCCAACTTCTGCAAAGTTTGAAAGATGTTTAGAAATAGTATCAAAATCCCAAATGTTAAGGACACCCTGTGAATATCAGCGTTCATGTTGAAATGGAGGAGATCAACGCACTCTTTCGTGACAGCATTGAGAGCAGCATCGTGTTGGTCGAGTCTTCGGTTGGCCTCAATCAGCGATTGATCGTTTCGACTTTTTTGCTTGTAGACTTCAGCAAGCTCTTCACGCAAATGTTTCAGTTCAAGTGATGATGAGTGCGATGGAACGCTGAAAAAGCCACAGATCCGAAATATGACACTGCAGCAAACATTGCCACCCGCAACTTTATGTAAATGTTGCAAGTAGCGAGCGAGCTTCATTTGTTTGGTTAAAGCTGACTCAATACTAGGCAAGACACAGTATCATTGGGAAGTTCCCATTAGAGAGGTCGCATTTGATCACTGTGGAGAGACTGGAAACTGGGAAAAGCGGTACTGGCTGGAAAATCAGGAAGGATGGGGAAAATATAGGCGAAAATAGGGGAGAAATGAGCCGTATCAGATTCGGATACTGAGTAGGGGGCTTCATTTCTTACTCACTGTGCATCTGCGTTTATTAGAAGGGCTTTGCCACGTATGACGACACTCACTATGTATCTCTGTAAAAAGGCTTTGCCACGAGTGACGACTTAGCAATGGAGTCGATAGCTAAGAGCGACCGACCGCGAGGCAGAAATACAATGAGAAGGTGCTAAGGGTCACGCAGCCTCCGAATGTACAAAGACTACATCTTGGACAAAGAGACTATAGAAGCAAAAGGCCTGCGAGTTGCAATGTATCGTCGGCGTGAGCCATGCCATGAGCATGGTCAAGTGAAAGATGTTCCACGTTAAATCCAGCAGCTAAGGTCTGATCACTACAAACGGTGGAGCGTATGACAGAGGCATGGCTTGGAGCGCAGCTAGACATAATTTCCATCAGCTGTATCAAGCTCGGATGGCATCTATGGTGGAAAGAGTGTGCCCTGGCTTCGCTGCAATTCACCACGACCTGTCGCCTGCAGGGAAGACTGCACGGTCAAACGATCGTGAAATGTATTCTGAATCGATGGTTCTCTAAGCTTCATTGTGTTCAATCAATGAGGAGTCGATTGGCACCATTGCTTGCGATCATATTTATGAACAGCCTCGAAAAAGTAGCCTTGGCATCTGGAGTTCTATACTTCGGATGATATATCGATGACATTTTCAGTGTCGGAAGAGCACGGACTGCTTTACGAAAAACATCTGGGAAGCTGAACTGAATGTGCCAGTCAATCAAATTGACAGCCGAAAGCCCTCCCACTGACGGTTTCCTCCCATTTCTGAATACTAAGGTCAAGATTTCTGAAGGTCAGATCAGCACCATATGGTATAAGAAGTTGGCAGCCCAGAACATCCTCAATCACGCGAGAAGTTGCCATCCTCTTTATATGGGAGTGAACGTAGTCCGCCATATGCTTACGACATCACATGAGCTGACCTCCACGAATCATGAACAAATGGACACAGAAGTAAAGAACATCTTGCAGCAAAACGGATATAGAAATGGCTGCTTTGATGCTGAAGGCCTTACCGATCACCCTATGGTACTCCACTCGTGTTACCTTTCATCAGCGACTCGTTCGCTGTTGATGCTAATCGCGTCGTAAAACGATCAAGGCTCCCCATAAGCCTGGTATTTCGACCACGTCTTAATTTACGGCGATCCTTTAACATCATCGCGTCCATATGAGAGTCGATGTGAAAGAGCTAACTGTGCGATTTGTGGAGAACGTGTGTCAAGGAAAGTGTGGTGTACAAAATAGTGTGCCTTTCATGTCACGAGTTTTACATTGCAGAAACATCGAGGCCACTTCGCAAGAGAATGGAAGAACACTTAAGAGCTTTGCGAAGCCCACAGAGCTACCCGGAGAACGCATTCTCGAGACACCGCACATTAAGGCACGCTCAAGAAAGACCGCCGGAACTTCGCGTCTCCACTATACACAGAAATGTGGTAGATCCAGTTGAAAGAAAGATCAGAGAGGCACTGGAAATAAAGCAACAGGAACCACCAATCAACAGCAAGGAGGAGATGAAAGTGGCAATGAGTTTGTTATAAATATAAGACCTGCAGAATGGAGACATACGTGACTTATTCGGGATCACCCTTGTCCCGCACCCTTATAAGTGATCCAAATCCATCCTTTTTTATTTCTGCCAATAGTGATAGTACGTAGTGAGACCTGACGAAGTTTTGTACTCCTTCCCCCTTNTACCATAGTGTGAGTTGTTGTCATTTCAATTCGCTAGCTGCAACATTGTGAGGGCGTATGCTGTTTGATTTAATCGAGTGACCTGAAGAAGAGCTTATGCCCGAGACGTAGTTATATAATAGAGATTCAATGATGAGAAGAGCTCCGTCGTTATACTCACTACAATAAGATCGTGAAATGATCGCTCCAAGTCGGGAAGTTGAGGAAGGGAAAACTTGCTACAGTAGAGCTGTGCGAAAGGCCTCATAGTTTATATTAGAATATGTTCTACTGGAGGCTGCTTCCCACCACTATCGATGCTTAAGGACAGCGCCCGCGATGGACTTTGGCAGGTTCCAGGGGTCAGATTTGTTAGAACAGATGGCAAATGAAGCATTAATCAAAGAAAACAGGAAGGAAGGGGTGCAAGAACATGTAATGAGACCCTATTCGCTTTAGGCATCTGTACGAGTTTCGCAGGTTCTGAGTGAGTTCTCCAAAACACGTCGCCGCCTCGTCGCGGCTAATTCTTATGAGGCTACCACCTAGGCTATCTTATCTGATCTAAATCATCCACGCTGGCATTAATAATCGATATGTCTATGAGTTAACTCCCTATCAGTGCACGAAGCAAACGCTAGAAATTTAGCGGTTATCAATGCCAGCGAGGAATGAGAACTGTTAACCAGTCGAGGCGGGATTAACAGGACAGGCGGGGTCAGCTTAGCATTGTTGACTCCGCCTTCGTCAATCAAAACATTTCGAGCCGCAAGAGTGGGATATCCGCTGCGGTAGCGGACTCGGCGATCTTGTACAGTGCAGGGTTTTTTCATCTTGGTTGATCGCGGACGCTGCCTGCCGCTGCAATGAAAATCATTGCTCAGAACCATCAAGAAATGGCCCCAAAGAGAGTGGAGGCCAGCTGCAAACAGAACAACCCCGTATTTTCTCACCTTTTTGAGATCGTGCTCATGATGGAATATCGGCAATGTCTCACTGTGGCTGCAACGTAACAGGTGCCGTCAACGAAGACTACTAGCCTCCCAGCAGCCTGGGCCTATATCCACTTGATTTTCTGTGTGAAAGTTCACACAGTGAAAAATTAAAGTGAGACGACCACCATTTCGCTCACTCTTTGACGTAAACATGCAGGGTGTTCAATGATATTGTGTTTTGTTTCAAGATATTGAAAGGAGAGCTAAGATTGAAACCCAGTAAGTACTGGGTGTTCAGACCGACAAACGGCCGCATCTCTTCGTTGTCCTTACAATGTCATAAATTATACGGAAGGCACCGAACAGGTTTTTAACTCACTATTTGCCGAGATAAATCCAGTCCCTGCCATCGGACCTGCAGGAGGCGCCTAGCATCTATGCGCTTAGAAGTAAATTGAAGAAGGTGGACTTAATGAATGTGACAGACATGCAAGATTTCTAGATGATTCCAGGCTTCGAAATGGTTCCTACTTACGTGTGTTGTGTTGCTTTATTTTTGTTTGCTTTTTTCATTTCATATACTACTTGGATGTTTTTACCTGTAAACTATGGCTCTTGCTGACATTTTCTTGGCTTGACATTCAGCGCACCTTAGCGTGCATGATATATAAATAAATAAATAAATAAATAAACATATGAATATTTAGACCGATTGGAATTGGTACCACTTGTGGCGCGCCTCGACTCAGTCATCTCGCGCTTGACGACCGTAGGTAAAGTGTAAAGGCAGTTAACCGGTATTACGGATATCCTACTATAAAATAATTCGCTAAGTTTGTCTCGTTGCTGTGTGTGTATGTTTGCGTGTGTGTTTGACGGAAATTCACAACTTTCTTCAAACAGGCGATAAAGTGCTCAAACTTATAAGGCGATGTAGGGGGCTCGGCAGGAACACTGTGGTGGAGGCAGACGTGATAACAGTTTACAAGATACCATAAGGGGGCATTATAAAGGAAAGTGAACAAATTCATAACGCGCGTCACAGCAAAGCTTGAGCGTTGGCTCAAAGAAGTAAGATATGGGCAGGATGGAAACTGGGATTTTTGAAGGGTGTCAGGAATGAATAAGACACCATCAGGAGTCTTGAAAGGAGTGGAGTTACCCTAATTCATAACACCGGCCACAGCAGCGATGGACGTTGGTTTCAAGAAGTTACATAGGGGGCAGGATGGGAACATTATTGTTGCGTGACAGGCAAAGTGATAACAGCTTGAGTAGGATACACAGGGGGGCCTAGAAAGAAGAGCGTTCACCAGCTCCATAGGGCGCGACCACAGCGACGACGGGATGTGGTTCCAAGAAGTTAAATAGGGGCAGGATGGGACATTATTGGGGTGGCAGGTGTGATAAACAGCTGACAAGCTTTATCACGTCCTGCCCACCACCAAACGATAAGCTTCATCACCGGTGCCCAAGGAAACAACGAGAGGTCAGAGCTAAGTGAGTTAAGTATTCTATCTCTTAGCGAATGTTGGCGACTTCTGAGCTCTCGACGTTTCGACGAAAATAAAAGTCCTCGCAGCTGCTCAACGGAAGTACAAGGATGCGAGAAATTGAGGATATATCACCATGATATCAATGTTATTACATCAAAATTCTTTCAACCGCTAAGCGCTGTCCTATTTCCATCGGATGGTGAAGTGTTCGTTAGAAATGTGAGTGTTTCTAGGAAAGAAATGTGGAAGAAGCAACCAGACATTAGCAAACGTTCATTGAATAGGAGAATCATAATGAAATAGGCCGTATCCTTTCATTCTATAAACCAGTAACTTTGTGTGTCGGTTTGTATGTTTGTATGTATGTAGGTTTGTAGGTATGATGTAAGTATGTATGTTTGTCTGTTCCGTCCGCAAAATACTTCACGGGGTTCGAGTTCGCTGGAGGCGAAAACAACCGCTAGGCAAAACCGGTAACGCGACTGGGAGATGTAGCAGTCCAATGATTTGATTGTTCGATAACAGCTCCGCTATATAAGACAACCATTCGGTAGCACTCCGAGCATTGCACGAGCTGCTGCGT